TTCTGATACCTTTCGTATTCCAAATCTGTTCAAACCTGTCCAAATCGGTTCAGATCCGTCCAAATCCATTCAAATCTGTTCAAATCCCAGACATGAGCCCCCATTCTGTTACAAAGTGGAGGTTGACCCCCACTTCCCCCGAGAACTAAAACAGAAACACCCAAAGAGGAGCACCTCGCCTTACAATCTGTTAAAAGGAATGTGAAAAGTAGTGTAACCTGCTTCTCAGCAACTTCTAGTGGTTAAATAAAACAAGTCCCTGACACTCACTTTACAGTCAATAAGTAACAATTCATCAAACTGAATAACCCCCTAACTACTAACTATTCCTGAATAAAACAAGATTCTAATGGTATGCTATTCCAATAAGTACAAGTTCCATTTATATAAAATAAAGAATGCAGTCTCTCAAAATTACAGCTAGGTTGTGCCTTCCAGAATGTTCAGTGCCTTCTCTTGTCATATGTTCTGTCAGGAATATTAACTAGTTGGGCTGTTGGTACCTTTGATTTAGATGGTGCTTTCTCGAAGACTTACAGAAGACTGTGAAAGCCAGTGATTCTGTCTTGAGAGCTGAGAGCTGAGAGCTGTTAGCTCTGGCAGATGGCAATTAATTCTCCTGTCTTTGTCCAACTGCCCTCTCCTTTTATACCCTTGATGACATATCAATTTCTTACAATTTGGATTGGTCAAAACCATCAGATTTAAACTTAGAGATAGTAGGAACTGCAGACGCTGGAGAATCTGAGATAACAAGGTGTAGAGCTGGATGAACACAGCAGGCCAAGCAGCATCAGAGGAGCAGGAAGGCTGACGTTTCGGGCCTAGACCCTTCTTCAGAAAACTTAATTTAAATTTAAACTTAATTAGTTTTTGGTATCTAAGTGCCTGGTACAAATTGATTGGCTAAATTCAAACCTTCTTGTTTTGGTAACAAAACAAGACTGACGCTTGGCTTGCTAACTGTATGGCTTTTAGATACAAATGTTTCAATTTGGGCGCTCTCTGGGTACTTGCAAACTTTCAACTGCTGCCCATATACATCCAATTTAAATCTCTAAGCACAGAAAAAGCACATCATCTTTTAAAGGGACTACACAATGCTTCCTCCCCCCCTAGCATTTTACAAGCACCAAATTCTAACTTCTTGCCTCCCAATCCACAAGCACTCTACCCAACTTCACAACAAGACTCTGTAAATGAAGTCAAAAACCTTCCTGAAGAATGCATGTTGGGGAATTGGATAAGGCATCGGATTATCAACTTATCACACTTTCACTTCACATTAATATTTGGACAGAGTAGACAAGTGACAAATATTGACTTTCACAGATAATTTATTAATTACAATCCGAGTATCTGGTACGTTCTGACAACAGTTTGAGCAGGAATCTGAAACAGAATCAGTCTTGTATCTCATGACCTGATCCTTGCAGCTGTTGTCCATTTGCTGAGGAGAGCTGTCAGTCAATGATCTCCAACAGAGATGAAAAAAAGATTGGTATTCCTTTAATGATTTCACAAGCTCAGGATGACCCGAGGCGAGTTATAGTAAAGGAAGTAGTTTTGAACTGCAGACTGTGTTGTCGTCTGGATAACATAGCAGACAATGTGCACGCAGAATGTTCTCAGCAGCATTATTATAATAACAACAGAATAACCTGCTTCAGTGATGACAGATGCAGAATGAATTTGAGCCTCTTCTCTGAATTTACTGGTCTTTCATTGAAATTGTAAGTCACCACCTCCGATAGTGCAGCCCCTTCAGTATTGAGCCCCAGCAGTCTACTGCCTACTGAGTACTAATGGTCCGACAATGTGGTCCTCCATCAGTATGGACTTTAAGAAACTGCAGTGCTTCCCCGGCACTGACCCTCCGACAGTGTGGTGCTCCCTCAGCACTGATCCTCCGGCAGTGCGGCGCTCCCTCAGCACTGACCCTCTGGCAGTGTGGCGCTCCCTCAGCACTGACCCTCCGGCAGTGCGGCGCTCCCCTGGCTCTGACCCTCCAACAGTGCAGCGCTCTTTCAACACCGACCCTCCAGCAGTGCAGCGCTCCCTCGGCACTGACCCTCCGGCAGTGCGGCGCTCCCTTGGCACTGACCCTCCAATAATGCGGCGCTCCCCTGGCTCTGACCCTCCGACAGTGCAGCGCTCCTTCAACACCGACCCTGCAAATGTGCGGCACTCCCTCAGCACTGACTCCTGGGCTTCACCCCTTCCTGCTCACAAAGTCAGACTAATCCAGGATGGAGATTGGATGTTCACCTGTTTGTGTTAGCCATAAAATGAATGAAATATTGGATCCTAGGGTATGTAATCAGTTATGAAAATAACAGTGGTACAGAAATGACTTTCCATAGGAACTGAAAGAAGGCACAGGAATCATAACAAATCCAGTTCACAAACTTGTACTTATATAACGCCTGCAAAAAAAAATGACACAATACAACATATGCAGTAAAACAGATGCCAGGCCAAAGTGGGAGGTATTTGAAACTTCGAGAAAGAGGTAGGTTTTAAGCAGCATCTTGAAAGTGAGGCAGAGATTTTAGGTGGGAACTGCTGAACTTGAGGCCCAAACTGTCAAAAGGTATTTTTGATTAGAACAAGAATCACAAGAGGCCAGAACCCAAGGAAGGGAGGACAGAAGCATATCTAGGTGGACCAGAGCCACTGAATCAAACTCTTCACCCAGAACTAAGCATCAAAATAGATAAAAGTGGAAGTTATTGGAAATAATCAGGTCTTGCTGCAACTTCTTTTTTTATTCACTTATAGGACGTGGGTATGATTGGCTGGTCAGCATTTATTGCCTGTTCCTAATTGCCCTTGAAGTGAGTAATTTGCTAGGCCATCTCAGAGGGCAGTTGAGTGTCAACCATATTGCTTTGGGCCTGGAATCACATGTAGGCCAGAACAGGTGAGGAATGCCACATTTCCTTCCCTGAAGACATTAGTGAACCAGATGGGAGAGAAACCAAATTTATGTTTAGCAGAAAAGCTTGGACAGGGAGTTGACAACAAGCTGCTGCTAGAACTCCTGGACACAAAGGAGATTGAGCAGAGATTTCATTGAGGTTGACAGGATTATGAAAGGTTTGGATAAGGTACACAAGGATTTATTAGCTAATAATAAAAAGACTGGACATGTTGGGATATTAAAGAATGAGAAGCAACTTTACTGAAACATACAAGGTTCTTAGAATCAGGGTTGATGTCATAGTCATAGGCATAGAGCATGGAAACAAGCCCTTCAGACCAACCAGTCCATGCTGACTGTGTACTCAAACTAAACTAGTCCCACCTGTCCATATCCCTCCAAACCTTTCTTATTCATGTCGTCAGGAAGTTTGCAGATGACACCAAAATAGGTGGTGTAGTGGACAGTGAAGATGATCATCACAGAGTACAATGAGACCTTGATGGACCAATGAGCAGATAGAGTTTAATTTAGATAAATGGGAGCTGTTACGTTTTGGTAAGACAAAGCAGGGCAGGACTTCTACAGTGAATGGTAGGGCTCTGGGGTGCTTTGCTAAACAAGGAGACCCAGGGGTCCACTTGCATAGTTCCTTGAAAGTGGCATCACAGGGAGACAGGGTGGTGAAGAAGGTGCTAGTCCTGCTTGCCTTCATTGGCCAGAGCACTGAGTAGGGATGTCATTTTGCAGCTGTACAGTGAGTCCACTTTTAGAATATTGCGTACAATTCTGGTCACCCTTCTATAGTAAGTATATTGTTAAACTTGAGAGGGTGCAGAGAAGATTTACAAGGATGTTGCCAGGACTGGAGGATTTGAGCTATAAGTAGAGGGTGTTTAGGCTGGGGCTTTTATCCCTGGAGTATTGGAGGCTGAGGGGTGTCCTTTTAGAGGTTTTAAAATCATGAGGGTCACGGATAGGGTGAATAGCCAAGGTCTTTTCTCCAGGGTGGGGAGTCCAAAAATAGAGGGCATATGGTTAAGATGAGAGAGGAAAGATTTAAAAAGGATCTGAGGGGTAAATATTTCTTGCTGAGGATGGTGCATGTATGGAATGAGCTGCCAGAGAAAGTGGTAGAGGCTGGTACAATTACAACATTTAAATGGCATCCGAATGGGTATATGAATGGGAAGGGTTCTGAGGGATATGAGCCAAATGCTGGCAAACGGGACAAGTTCAGAATGGGATGTCTGTCAGCACGGACGAGTTGGACCAAAGGGTCTGTTTTTGTGCTGTATGACCCTATGTGGAAAGGTTGTTTCCTGTTCTGGGACTGTCTAGAACCACAGTGTCAGAATAAGAGGCTGCACATTTAAAACAGAGGTGAGGAGGAATTTTTTTTCTCTCTCCAATGGTTGTGAATCTGTGGAATTGGTTATTAGAGGGCTATTGAGACTGGGTCATTAAGACTGAGATGGACAGATTTTTATCAGTTAAGGGAGTCAAAGGTTATGAGGACAAGTTAGGAATGTGGAGTTGAGTATCATCAGACCAGCCATAACATTATTGAGTGGTGCAGCAGACTCGGGCTGAATCGCCTACTGTTGCTACTAGGTCTTATGAGTAAAAGGATAAAGAATTCAGGGTTTGAGCAAGAGATGCAGAAGAAATGGAAATTTTTTTCACACAGTGAGCATAATGATCTGGAACACGAGGGTGGTAGTCTTGGAATCGGATTTGAAAAAGAAACCGGATGGGCATTTGAGGAAATAAACTTGCTACGGAGACTGCCAAGAGAATCAGGCTGACTGAATTGCTCCAGTGAGATTTTATGACATAAATGTCTTTATGACTCCCTCTCCTGAAGCTAGTTATTGTTACTTGGTCTGTTTGAGGCTTGGTTATTGCTTAGAAGTCTCTCCCAGGACCCAGCAGAGACTCCTCCTGACATTCAGCCCATCAAACCCATACTGCCATTCGAACCCTGACTCCAATTACCTGTCCAGGTTCCATAATCCCACCGTTAGTGAGATCCGATATTCAGCTGTTTGGTGGAGAGGGGTCCAGATTATCTTGCCTTTTGTTGAACAGTTGCTCCCTGACATCAAACCTGAACAGCCAAGCGCTGATTTCATGGATCAGCTCCATCGTTTTGGAGACACACAAAACCCATGCCAAGCAAATAGGTACTGCTACACAGAGTTGTTGGTTGTTCATGTACAGTACCCCAGTGTTATACAGTGACAGACCCACCCCCACCAATACTGTACCCCAGTGTTATACAACGACAGACCCGTCCCCACCAGCACTGTACCCCAGTGTTATACAGCGACAGACCCGTCCCCACCAATACTGTACCCCAGTGTTATACAGAGACAGACCCACCCC